GAGCAATACGACGATATACGTAGAAATACGGAGCAAAACGGAGATTGTATACGAACTCCGTATACGATCTCAGTTTACGATCGTATTTTTCTCCGTATATCACCGTATTTCTCCGTATACGACACGGAGATATACGATCGTAATACGTGACCATGTAAATCGTCGTATTTCTCCGTATACGGTCGTTTACGACCGTGCTTGTTTGACCTGGGTAGTTTGAAAACACAAAAGTTTTTTGCTATGGAAATCGGTATAATATTCTTTTGGTTAGATCGGTTGAACAATAAGAAATTTTGTTGAAAGGAGCTCGGTATCAAATGAGATTTTCATGAAATAAAATCATCGTGATAATCTAGTATTGCTTATTTTCATTGATTTCAAAACTATGTCATAAAAAAAAACAATTGTTTCTCATCTAGCAAACATTTTTCATTAATCTTCTGACGTAACAGTATTTTAAAAACAATCTGAAACTTGTAAAATGAACTATTGTCATTCAAACTTAATTTGATCAATACTCTTACCAAATATTCATAATTGCGTTCTTGTATAGCTCGATAAGATTTAAAGAATTAATATTATGTCGGATCGAAAATTATTTGTTCCTTTAAATAAGTAATGAAAAGTCGAAATATAACATATTTGTCGTTTCTCTTTTTGAAAATATAAAACTTCTCTCTATTTCATATCTTTCTACATTGGATATGAGCAATTCATTAACAAAAACATAAAATTATTGTCCGAACGAAGTCAAATATATTAGCTCATCATGAAAAAATCTTTCAAATTATATTTCAATCAATGTTTTATAGATCATCCAGTCAAGTTGTTTTTTTTTTATTAAGATATTTTCATGTAATGTTGATTTTACTTACATTCCTTTAATTAATCTCACTGATAGAAATTGAAAGAAACAAAGAATCGAGTCAAACATCGAAAATATATTTAAAATATATGTGCATGTCAGTAAATATAAGAAAAAAGCATATGTACATAAAGGACAAAAAAAAAGACAAACGATTAAAGACAATTTCTTGATTAAGACACATGAGAATATAAAGGATTCACTGGGGAAAATAAACTACATGATATATATCGCGACTATATTAATAGAGAAGAACTATCAATCGATACTGTTCGAATTGCTAATTAAATATATTCGATCACTGTTGAACAATCTAAAAAGAAAATATTATTTTTATTTGAGAATAAAAAACAAAGCCAAAAATCTAATTAACCTTATATTGTTCTTCATTACAATCATTTAAATCTAATTGAACAAAATCATCATGAAGAACATTAGCTGGAATTATTTCAATGTCATCAGCAATATTCTCTTCTTTATCTTTTGGATATTCTTCAAAAATTGTTGTTTGTGTTTCAATGGAATTATAATATTTTTGTTTTTCAATATCGGTTGGTTGATTTATAATTAATTCAGGTAAAACAGTTATTCGTTGTTTATTATTTAAATTTGATCGTGCCGATGAACAAAGTTTTCGAACAACATCAATCTATTTTAGATTATTTTAATAAAATAAAATAAAATAAAATAAAATAAACCTGATGAGGTGTTCGAATTTTAGCCATAACATGATGAGCATGAACTAATTGTCGATCAGCACATGATTCACATAAATCATAATCAAAACATTCAAGACATTTATAACGAATACCAATTATTGGTGAACGATTACATCCTATTTTATATATTCAATTAAATTAAATTCAAAACAAAAAAGAATAAAAATAAAAATGATTAAATACAAACCATCACAAATAACGCCAACATGTTTTGGTGGAAGTAATTTTATTGGAGGAAGATCATCTTTTATAAATTTAACAAAAACTCGAAGAAGTTGTTGACGTGATGCTTGGTCACGTGCAGCTTCATTTATTCCTTCAAATGCTGTTGCCAATACAAGACCACGAATATCATCTTTGTAAATTATTTTATTTAAATATTATTTTAAATCAAATTCTTCATTTTTTTTTACCTTCATATTGGAATTCAAGATGAATTCCACTTGTTGAAGACATTAGTTCCGGAAAAAATTGTGAAAGTTTCTCACGTAATATTGATAAAATATCTGTAGCAGATGTTAAAAGTGGAATGACTATTCGACGATATTCACAGATACCGTCTAATTTTATAATGCATAATTTTACTTCAACCATTTTGTTTTTCTTCTAAAAATAAAAAAATTACAGTGACTAAACATTATTTTCAAAAGATTAAAAATTTCTTTGTTATTTATATTAAAAATAAATCGAATAATCTGTTTGAATTCGGTATCATCATTTATGATTGCGATGACACATTCGAATTGAACACATTCTTTTATTAATAAATGATTCCTCGGATTCATAATTGTTCTCATAAACATAAAATTATCTAGAAAACACAAGATTATAGAATAAATTTCATTCGAATTGAGAATTATAATAATGACGAAACATTTACTAATATAATTCTTCTTATTTCTATCTACTAAACAATATAAAAAAATGATATCTATCAGTATGGTTTTTTTTCATAGAGCAATTAGTCATTGGCATGAATAAAAACTTTTTCACCACTATGAAACTGTCACTTTTATAAAACGGAAACAACTTGTGGGCTTGATATTGATTAATCAATTGTACTCACATGACTTTTTTTTTCTTTGACGGAGAAAACTTGTATCCATTATCTACCCATCATAATGACGAAGGAAGTAAACAATCTAGAAATTCATGAGTCATTCATCAATATCAATATCCAACCAGATTCAATGAGAGTCATTCCATAACGAAATAGTCTACGTGAAATTTTTCTTTTCAATATTTATAATTTTGTATTAAATTTCAGCTGTTGTTTTTCAACAACGCAATTGCAACATATCACACAATAGTGACATCTGTTCCTTCTGCAGTACTACTACAGAATAGAAACACCTTTTAGCTTTGTTTTATTTTATCTGGTTAATTGAAATTCGGAAGAACGCGTGGAGATTTATAGAAAATGATTATCTATCACAGTTGTCGCTGGCATTCAATTTTACTTTACAAGTTGACTTAAGAATCACACTATTCACCAGTGTTACTAATGGCAAGTGTAAATAGCGGAAGCATAATGTATAAAACATCTGCTACTTTCGAAATGCATGCTGCTTTAGAGTGTCTTGAAAAAGCAGTGTATGAATTACATTTTGCAAAAAAAATTAACATTTTTCTTCTAATATATTCAAAACTAATTTCGATTTCAAAAAATATGTTTAGACTATGGGCAGATTATGATCTTTCAAATAAACAATGTATCTTTGTTTGTTCAAGCAAAATGAACTTTGTTGTATTTTTCGTCGCATTACATTTCACAACAGAATACAATTTGATGTAATTCATCATGTAACAAGGTAAGATACTATTTCTTGTGTATTAAGCCACATTTCTCGCTGGTAACTCATAACCAATCGAAGTTTTGAAGTTTGAACTGTGCTATTTCACTCTCTTCTGAACCCTGGAAGAAAAAGATATGAGAAGGAGAAGAACTGTTTCTAGCCATCTGTACTGTGTATGTAGTATATCCATTACTTTGTTAATTATTTCAGTGGACGTGTTTAACTTTGGATTCGCCATCTATATTATAATGGCGTCCTCAACAACCACATACGGAAAGCAATATGATAGTTGGATAAAAAAAATACCATAATTAAATAAAATGAACTCAGACGTTTAATATTAGGTACAAGTTACTATTGATCGTATGAAGGCCGACCAAAAACATGTTGACAACTCAAAAATGAATGATCAATCAAATTGAACGAGATAAGACAGACCAAAGAAAGTGATATGAATAAAATATCTTATTTGGAATCTGCAATCGAGAAACTTGAAAAAGAAACGATCAATTTATTGAGTTTAACGATAACTAGAGACCTGCATCTAACTCCGAAACCCGACTCCGTCGGAGTCAAAGTCGATGCAAATTATAGAAACTCCGAAACCCAATTGTATTCTTTTCTTGTGCAACATTTATTTTTCACAAGTGTAACGTTTGGTTAACAAGAACTTTTATTCCAATAACTAAGTAACATCAAATGGAAAAATACAAAACAAAACAAAATAAATGCGAAAACCTCGGATTTAAATCCGAGTGTTATGTGTACTTCAAAAAGTGAAGAGGTATATTCACTTTGTTTTTATCAACTGAGGCATATCTAGGCAATTTGCTTTTTGCATGCAGTTTTTCTGCATTTTGAGACCTTTTTCAGGGGATGTTTTGTTAGAAAGCTACGCTTTTGTTCAAAACTAATATCAAATTCGGAATCAGCGTTAAAAACTGAGTCGATTTGTATATGTTGTGAATAATTGTGAGAAAAAATTTTTTTTTTGAAAAAATCCCTGTACCCCCCCTCAGGGATGGTCTTCTTAATAATGACAATTTTTTCGATAACTCAGCCATTTCCTGACGGATCCTGCTCATCTTCGAACTCGACCGAGACATTGTTAAGACTGAACTGTGTGGAAAATTTCATCGCGATTGGGCTCTCCTTTCAAAAGTTATCGTGTAAACGGCCGGACGGCCGGACACACTGACCGATTCTAGAGTGTACTCACTTTTTGAGTACACAAAACATCCGCATTAGATTAACTTTTACAAGTAACTATTGCAAAAAAATATCAGCATCATTCAATATCTCAACTTTCGTCATCAGATATATTTTCGTCTTCTTCATGTACTTTTTTAACTACTATTTCATTGAATGTCCTGACATAATTGAAACTGGATCAAGATTTGATCTTTTTGTTGGTGCCTTCTTGACCTGATGAAATTCTTGCAATAAAACTAAGTTTTTTAAAAAGAAACATGAGCTGATTAAGCTTTTCATCACCAAAATTTGTTCTACGCTCACCGACACTGTTTTTTCGATGATGAGAAAAGACATTCAATCGTGGCGTTTGAAGTCGGTATTGCAAAGATTCTCCTAACCATTGAAGATAACATTAGAAATAAACCCTGTAGTTTAATCCAAAAATCTAGAATATCAATATCTTCTTCATCATCATTATTAACAAAGTGGAAATATTAACTTAAATAGAAAAAAATTTCGGAGTTTTTCGGAGTCAGAATCGGAGTTGAAAAGAACTTGATTCCGCAGGTCTCTAACGATAATCGGGCACGAACCGCTCGACGCATTACTAATTGAATATGGTAAATTAGAAGAAATTTATTTAATATATCCTCCAATGTATTTGTTTCTTTCTCTCTTTTGATGACGTAATGAAAGATAAGGAAAATATTTGATGATCATTTTTATTTTTCAGAAAATCCAGGTGGAACCTACCCAACGGGATCCGATAGGATCCCTGAATTATCGGATAATATCCCACAGTCGGCATCCGAGAGGATCGGATAGTCGGAAATCATCAATATCCGTCGATTTCCTGCGACTTCCATTGATGGATTCCGTCGGATTTCAACAATAGGATCCGATGATATCCGTTGATGGGAACTTGCTGGAGTCGACGAAATCCGATGGTATGAAAGTATTTATTGATACTTGAATTCATGGGCGGGCCAGCATAGGGGCGAGAGGGGGCAATTGCCCCCCCTAAAAAAATTTTTTTGGCTGGGACTTAAGAAGAACGCCATGAAAACAAGCGTTTTTAAGCGAAAAAGTGCTTATTGCCCCCCCTGAAAATTATGGTCCGGCCCGCCAATGCTTGTATATACCAGGAGTTGTGATTGTTGTCAAATATGTAACATTAGTCGCATAATTTATTGTTGTTTGAATTGTTGGACTTTTGTGCAATTGTTCCAATGTTTCAAATACAATAGCTAAAAGATATAGTATTCAATCGTGTTTGATTTTCGAATAAAATTATGTTCTTGCCTTCAAACCATGTACAAAAATTGGCAATAATTAAATGAATAAGACCAATTCGAGCAATAAAACGGTAACGATTAATTACAATCTAAATGTAATAAAAACAAAATATACAAATATTTATTTTTCTATTTTAAAAATAAAATACTTACATTTCCATAACGAAATAAAAATGTAAATTGTACACAATGAAATAAAAATCGAAGTATATAAGTCATTGATTTTGTTACTACAACTGACATAGGATATGTGACAGACGGTGAGGCACGAGCTATTATATCAGTTCCTGTTGCAATTGTTTTTGCTAATTCAATAACAGTCACAATTAGACTTCCCATACAAAATACTAGAAGTAAGAAAAATAATAATATTTTTTATTTAATTTTTTTTTGTAACACCTACATCCAGCACCAATTCTCATAAATAATCCGCCGGTATTATGAACATCAGGAAAATAGAATATTTTATGTGTATGACGCTCACTTATATCCATATATTCTTCGTTATTATGAGCAGGTGCTGTTAATTCCCTCCATTGTCGACGGAATTTAATTATATCAAAGGTACACCATACCATCCATACAATAGAAACAGCATAGATATAAGTATAAACAAGCTAAAAATACAAAATAAAAAAAATCATAGAATAGAACGAAAATAAAACATACTTGTAGAGTTGTTCGAAGGTTTGATTCATCTTCTCGTATAGCTAAAACAAGTACCATACAAATAATAAAAACAACAAGTAATGCACCAATTTCCATCATAAAATTTGAAAGTGGTAAGAATGTTCTAGGTGTATATCTATACAAAAAAACGAATAAAAGACTATAAATATCATTAATTAAAATGAGAAAATAACAAACTCTTGTGTTTCTAGACCGGCAATACGTTGTTGTTGTTCACGAAAAGATGGTAGAGCAGAAGTTGATGGAAGTTTTGGTGGTGGTGGTAGTGGAGGAGGCGAACGATGAGAAGAAGAAGGCAATGTAACTCTATGTTGTTCAAATTTTGTAATAGTGGATGGTGCACTTCGAACATTAGTACGACGATCATCATCACGCTCAATAGAAGTATTAGGATTTCGTCGATTTGTTATAATTGCGTCAGAAATTTCTAATCCAACACTTTCATGATCAACATTTTGCAATAGATTCTAAAATAAAATATTTTGATCACTTTCTGTTAAAAAAAAAAATATTTTTTTTTTAAATTTCTTACTGATGAGGTTTGAGGTACTTTAGAAATAAAAACTGGATTAGAGAAATCTTTACATTCTTCTGAGCCTTCACTATCATTTTCATATGGTAATTCATATGAATCATTTTCTTGATTTTCATTATGATATTTATCGAATTGAGTATAATTTTTTACATAAAATAGACCATCGTTTGTATCTAAATATAAATAGAAGATAAAGTAAAATAAAAAAAAATTTTTTCGTTTAATAAATACTTTGTTTAGCTGCTGAATAATCTGGAGTATTGGATGGAATTGGTGGTGGTGTTCTTCTACGACGATTAGTTGGTTTTGATTGTTTTTTTATTTGAATATCAATTCTTGGTGTTGATTTTGTAGGTGAAATTATTTTAGGTGTTGAATTCTTAGTTGATATTTCATGTAATTGTGATCTTAATTTTTCTATCGAATTTTGATTTATTTCAACGTCACTATTTGTTGATCGAAGTGATGAACTCATTGATGATGGAGGAGTTTCATTATCATGATTAATATTATTATTTCTTGTTTGAATTGATATAGGAGGACGTAGTGGTGGTGGACGAGGAGGTGGAAGTACTGAAGAGATATCATTGAATTTTTCAAACTTATCGTATTTGCGAATGGCTTGACGTACTGGAGAATAATTTTCTTTTACAAAGGAACGTTCATTATTAGGATTATTCGATATTCTTGATGTATGTTGCGTTGTATGAGACGCTGAGAGTCGAGACATTCTAAGAAATACTTCACAACTCAAATTTTAATGTTATTTTTACAAAAGAACGTGTTCGAATATGTCGCTACTATGCAAGCACCTTGGCTGTCGGTAAATGAAGAAAAGAAAAAAAAATCTCAGTTATCAGTGAATTTGTGTTACTTGCTGATATCGTATCTTCTTCTTTTGTAACATCTATTGTGTAGGCGAAACGCCTACTCAAAACTATGTTCATTTCTTTTTTTTTTTATTTATATAAAGGTACAATATTTACATGAGCAGATGTCTATATTTAATACTTATTGCTTCCTGATTAGTCATTTGATAGGAAGTCATGATATTATTGTTGGTTAAAATAGATGAATTTTCTTATTTTAACTATATAATTATATTACATTTTTAGTCATTGATTATTAAGAATCTATGATGTTATGTATTTGTAATATTCTGAGTACATTTTAATGATTAGATTATTTAATAAAAATTGTGAACAAAGTCAACTAGGAAAATGTTTTCTTTTCTTATAAAAATAATAAAGTGAAAGAAATTTGACTTAGTTGTTTTAATTTAAATATGAATGAAATACAATTATGAGATGATTATTTGAATAGGACATACTTTCGATTTTTAAGCAAGTTTTAAAACATATAATAATATTATGTATAGATGGTATAATTCTCATTAATTCCAAAAAGAAATATAATTTGTTTTTATAGACAAAACTTTACATATATATATCAAGCCGAGATAACTAAGAAAGTTTTATTTAATAGTTCGTTTTCAAGAATAAATAGTGATAAGTTTGTTTAAGAATTTCGCCAATGAAATAGAGCCTCAGTATTATAAACTTTCCTAATATTAATTAAGATTAATATCTTGAATATTTGGATAAACAGAAATCATCAAAAATTTTGGTATGGAAGGAGATGCTTAAAAAAAAACGCATATCATTTATGAAAAATCAGGCATTAAATTATCTTTCCATATATTTATCTTAATTTTCATTATTTCGACGAAATTTGACTGTTTTTGAGAAGTGAATCGTCTTAAACTATATGGAAGTGCATAAAGCATCTTAGAGGAAATCTATGTCCCCAGCTGATTATTGACCTTTGAGTCGCGACTATAATGATCATGCAAATTTTAATAAGCTATGAATATGTTAAGAAGAATTCAGCTTCTTAGCTTATTATTGTGAAGATAATGCATTTTTAAGGTATTTTTTACATTTAAGCACGATGATCCTCCTCCTCAGGAACATAAAAAAAAAACGATTTTCGAATTTCGACTTGAAATTTTGCATTAAAATATGCCTTAATGAGAATAGTTTATTTTGAAAGTTTCAAATCATTTAATGTTTTCATATCCTAAAATAAGAACATAGAGTCTACCAATGCATATAAGCTATGCTATAGACACACTTTCATCATAGCCATATCTTAAGATAACAGCAACGAAAAGATCAGAAACTCTTCTCACTAAAATCTGTCTCTGTGCAAACTTTCAAATCGAAATATTTGAAAATCAGTTTTTCTGGTATTCCTAATAGAGAATAACAGCTTTGATTTAAAATCTACCGTAAAAATGCAGTATCCTCGAAGCAATAAGCTAAGAGCATGAACTCTTTTCAGAGTATTCATAGCTCATTAGAATCTTCATGATACATATAGTCTCCATTCAAAAGCGACTAATCAGTTGGAAGATTTTCCTTGAAAATCAGTAGTCTCCAATGACTTCTTCTTTTTCTATGGATTCGATCAAGATATGAATATTTCAAAACACAGGAGATCTTCATTTCTTCTACTTTTCCGCGAAATGTGAACTGAAGGTGTGCGTAGGTTTTTTTCTGTTCGTCCATAAAGCAAAGTTAACGGATCAAGTATTTTTGTAGCAAACAATACGAAAAGATTAAGCGAAATAATCACTGTTGTTCACTAATAAGCAGCAAAGATCATGGATAGATGTGATGGACTAGAATGTCATTTCTTTCCAAATTTTAGCCAGTTTGTTATTCGAAATAGGAAAAAGATACAATTTTTGTTTCGACAACACTTATCTCAGCAGAATTGCAGCTTTTGATAAATGTGATCATTCTCAAATATAACAGTAGAAATCATTGGTATTTAATATCGCGAGGATGTATGTATACAAAAACTCTTTATAATCAATCTTTGATTTTGAACTCGAAGTTAAATCGTATAGTTTTCCTTCTGAATTTAATTCTTCTATCGATATGATAAGAACTTCAAGTTAAACTACTCTAGCTTTCTATTTGAGACAAAATGATTTCTTCCCATTCTTCTTTTATTTATTTCATAAACTCGTTTTAGGCTGATGGCATTTATTTTTTTCTGTTACTACCACCATATATACATATTTTGATCTAAATATTCTAATACATAGTCATCCAGTAATGCATCTTGATTAATTTTTGTTCGTAGTTTTTTTACCATCATATAATTTACATCTCGAAAACATATTGAAGAAAGATGATGATTACAAGGCGATCGAAATGAATTTAAATGTCGATTTTTCATACAATGAATACAAGCCGAATATTCTTGTTGCCAAAAAATAATGTTTTTTCTCGAATATGAAGATGTTGATAATTGATTTCGATGATTTTGATTTGTATATATTTTTAATAAAAAATGTAAAATTAATTCTAAATTATCTTTATCTACTTCTATTTCAAGACTATGTAAATATGGACAAAATCGATTAAGTATTTGAATATCTTCTAAAGTACATTGATTGATAAGATTAATTTTGATAATATTATTCTTATTAAATATTAAACGTTTTGTTTCCGATTGTGGTGAACATAAATAGAGTACACTTGTTGGAATTGTTAATGATTTTATATTAGGAAAATGATCTAAGAATAACTGTAATTGTTCCAATCGAATTGTTTTATCAGAAATAATTAATTCAGTAAGTTGTGTAGGTAAAAATAGACGAGTAAGATCAAATATAACTGAAGGATTTTCATTTATATTTTCTCCCGAAAGAATCAATCGATTAGTTCGTGGAAACTGAATCGAATATGAAGTAATTGATGAATAATTATGAAGATCAACTTCACAAGCTAAATTCAAGCAAGTTTCATAATATTGACATATATCTTCATAAAAATCATAATGATCCCACCTATGTAAAGAAAAAAAAAAGAAAAATTACAATAAAATGACTTGCCCAAACGCAATATTTTAGAAAGTATAAGAGCTAAAAAGTTCGTGCGACACAGCTTATCGTACTTTCTTTATACTATAAGAATGATCTTTTTTCGCTGAGAATTCTCGGGTGTCTAGAAAGGTTTTATCATTGTGTAATACTGTTACATAATAAGACTACTGTTCTTTAGGGTCAATAATAAAAGTCTAATTTCTTGTGAAAAGTTTTTCTTCAAATGAAATACTTCTAGAGTGGGTTTTGTAGAATATTAGTACTTCTCGTCAGAGATGGAACCGATCTGAAATTTTCACAACCGGTACCGGTACCGGTCTGAAAAGTTCAGACCGGACCGGATCGACCGGTCTACCGGCAGATCGGCCGATCGAAAGCTCGTACCGGTACATACCGACTGATCCGACATTTCTTTTGTAATTCCATGGAACAAAAAAAAGAGTAATAATGATATAAAAGTGATCATGTAAAATCCTAAAGACATGATAATATTCGAACAAATAAGAAATTTTCATATAACTATATATAATAAAAGCAGGACAGTAAACTAGACAGACCAGTCATCGACCAACAGACCGNCGGCCGCGACGCGATGGTACACAAAAGAAAAGCTACCGCGACGCGCTTAGAACCAGCTATGCTTCGTACAACATTAAAATTTCATGTTTGCCTCATACGATGGAGTCACATTAAATGTACTTGTTATGGAAAGAAGCTCTATTAATCTATCTCTCACTGGAAGTCCAATTCTAAGCACTGCCAATTTTTTCAGATATGATAAAAGAAGTTTTTAAAATTTCTACCGCTGCCGCATCGCGGTGGCCAAAAAAGATAAGTTGCCACTGCCGCCCAGCTAACCGCTACCGCGGCAGTGGCAGCGCCGCGATGGATATCTCTGCTATATACATTGATTTAATTGTTCAGTAAGTTCTAGAGCTTCCTATTCTTTTCCTCGACGAACTTTGACATATATTGTTGAATTTTGCCTAAACTTTGAATTCAATTAATGCATACTTTTCTATAGCCATCCTCGTTTAACTCTACTGGATCAATAATACCACCGCCGTCATACTGATTGACGCATACAATACAATTCTTTCACCGCATTGAATACGGAAATCCGAAAAATATCGACTATGTAGAATCTATAGTAGAAATCTTAGATTCATAGAATTCTTTGGAAGATTCTAGAAAGCTTCAGAATAATCTAAGCGCAGTGATTATTGGTGCGCTGTTTCTCGTTTCTAGAAAAATGTACCCAATGATCGTCAGCTCATTTCAGTCTCTCGCATTGCTATGGAAACGTATCCAAAACCCGATTTAAACTTTCATATATTTCTTCGAAAATGTATGCGCATTCTACAAAAAAAAAAGAGATAAGCTGACGTCAGAAAGATTTTTTCTGCGACCGAACATGTGAAACTAATTTTTTTTATCAACTACTTCTTTTTTCGTTCTTTTATTTCATACAGAAAAAATTCCTATAAATTATTGTCTTAAAATAATTATTCAATTATGGATAAAATGACAACAACATGAATTTCATTTACTTGTTAATTTTATTAAAAATAATAATCTACAAAAAAAAAAGATGAACATATAACAATATATATATATATTCAATATCTTTTGATTTTCATCATCATTCAAAAACGATCACCATTTTGTGATCGTCCAAAACCATTTAATGAAACTTTTCTTTCATCTAAGTCATCAAACCACTTATCTATACCACCCAATAAAATTTTTACAATGTACTTAAAAAAATTAAAACAAAAGAAATTCATAAAAGTTTAAATCAATGATTATAACTTACATCACCAAAACTAAATGGAAAATCATTTCCTTGGCATCGCAAAATTTGTCTTTTTTCACTTCGATAATCATCAACAACATCTAAATTTGGAATTTCTTTATCCCAATCATTTAAGTAATCCATAGATTGATCATCATCTAACATATATAAATTATTTTTCGAATATGTATATATATATATATATATATATTTATTGCGATCGATATATTTTGTTCTATTTACCTGTACAAGCAATAATTGTTACCGGAATTCGATGTGTTGGATTACGTTCATATTGTAAAACTTTTTTCAATGAGCCAATATCCTGATAGCCGTCATCGTCAGTCGGTATTCCATCAGTTGCTATAAGAATGAGTAAATTACGTTCTTGAATTTCATGTTGTTTATTACGAAGAATTTCACGGAGAACACGTGTAATTGGAGTAAAACATAAAATAATTAAAAAAAAAGCAAACAATCCTATATAAAATGAATTATTTCATATAAAATACCTTCTGGTGGTACATCAAAAATAGGAACTAATTCTGATGAATGTCTTACATTAAATATTGGTTTACGATTAAGAAAATAAACGTCAACACCATTTGGATCGAGAGTACTAGCTAGATCAACAACTATTGAAACTGTTTGTTTAAGTTCATCCCCTATAAAAATTGAAAAATAATAAAACACATATGACAATAAAATAAAGATTCATTTTACAACGAGTACGTGAATTGTTCAAATAACCAAAAACATCACCTAAATATATTCTAAGATTAAGAAAAAAGAAACGAGAAAAAAAAACAGTTTACCAAGTGGAGTATTCATTGAACCTGAATCATCACAAACAAATACAATTTCATAACCATCTAATGCAAGTAATTTTTTAGCAAAAGTTTGATTAACTAAAACAACAAGAAAATTTCTTTTCTAATCTATAGATAAACAGAAAAGAAAATTACTTTCATAACGACGAACAAATTTATCAAAATTAGGCCGACGTTGTTCACTAGGTATAAAAGAATTTCGATTTTGATTTTGTGTATTGTTGATATTTGATGAGTTTCTTCGTGAATACATTCTTCCCGTGTAATAGTAAAAAAATAAATGAAAAAAGTAACTGTATTGGACATTTTATAAGGAAGTAAAAATAAACAAATAGTTGGAAAAAAGGAACTAATGTATTGTCGCATGTCAATTTTTTTCATAAAATCAACATTTGATTAAATGGATTGTTTACGACTTCATCGCAGAACAGAGAAAAACTTTTAGTGTGCTTCTATACGATAGCCAACCTTTCACTCTGTGCCGTGTATGACTGAATTACTTTTGTGCGCGTGTTTTTGTGTAGTAGAATCAATATTTATATTTTTCTATGACACAAAGAAAGCTTTTTTTTGCTTTTATTAAACACATCATTACTATATGAATATAATATGTTTCTATTTTTTGAGATATCTTCATAACATATTATATAATTATTATCTATCTCATTTGGAACATGTTTTGTTCTGTTAACAACATGCTTTTCTCATAGATTAATATGCATTTGTTGTAGTTACACAAATGAAATAAGTTAAACACAATCTTTTTCGTAGAGAGTAAATAAAAAGAGAGTGCCCGATGACAACAGTTTGTCGAGACTCTTATGAAATTTCTTTGAATGACACCTAATACAAAACAGAGCTGTTGATCTGGCCTGCTACCTGGCAGGCGAAGCCAAAGTTTGATATTTTAGCCTGGCTAGATCCGTTTATATAATATTCGGTCTGGTTCATACTTAGAATTGGGCGATTTAAATTGATGACTTAACTGGCGAAAAACTGATGCGTTTAATGTATCAAGTAACCAATCAATTCTTTCAAGAAACAGTCTATTACTTTAGTTCTTTGAAGATATACAGTGTAAAACTGATATAAATCTTGGAGTTTCTAATAATAACAACTCGTATTTTAATCTGTCACGTTTCATGTGAACTAACATGAAGATCAAAGGAAAATTTTTCATCTAGTAATTCTGAATAACCTTTTGTAGGTATAATAAATTCATTTAGCATGATTGGAGGCTCACATCATACAATAAGAAAGTATTAACGCAAAATTTAGAGTTAAGATTTTAATAACGATTGAAAAGTTGTCGGTTACAAACTTCTAGGCTCACATCTCTTGAACATTAACAGGATGGAAATCGATAAAAATCAGCAAAATAGGTCAGTTTTAGTGCAATTTTGTCCTCGTACTGATACGAAAATTGATTGTCAAGAGTAAATGTCCTTGACTATTATTATAAATATCATTCATTTCCTATATTTTCGTTGTGAATTTTCTTTTATCTCTTTCTTGTAAGCCTAATAAAATGCTGTTTGTGCTATCATTATTTTATTTTTTCGATTTTGCGAAACAGAAACGATGCGATCAAAAATATTGTATTAATTTAAGCCTTTCTTCTATGGAAATTTTTTTATTTTATCTCGTGGTTTTAATGTAGGTCAGGAAAAATCTAGCGCTGGTATCTCTGATATAAAATTCATAATGTAGTTTTAACATATGAGTAATAATATAAAGTGTAGTGGATTTCGGTTCGAAACTTTTTTTTTTATTCTAATATATTTCAATTATTGCAAAAAATGCATCGATCGTGTTTGTATGAAAAACTGAAAATGATATTTTCTGTTCGTTATTTATCAGTGTTGATTTACTCTTACTTTGTTCAATAGAAATGAATAAACATTCATCATTAGAATGTAAAGATAAATAAATAATTTGTTTTTCAGAATTATAAAATTTATTCAAAAGATCTCTGTCATTGATTTCTTTTAATTATTGATTGAAAGTCTTAACTCGCAGTTTTAAGGCTTTTTCTTTCCCTTACAAAGTTTAGTTATCGAGAACCATCGGTATCAGACACTTTTCTCAGAGTTCCATAGCAACCGAAAGAAAAGTACTACACACGCCATTACTAACAAGACTCGGACTGCTCTAGAATATTCTAAACTTTTCCTCAAAATTTCAATGACTGGAATATGTTTTCTCAATGTTCTAATTATTGAAGTTTTCAATTTTTGCACGTGTAAAAATTTGTGTTCAAGATGTTAACAATGATGAGTAGTTATGTATTGATTTGTCACAGTCATCATATGATCAACATTAAAAGCGTGAACTGATCAAGCTAGGAAACACACAATCTCAGTGCTTGTGATTGATCTTATCGACATATATAATAATACGTTGGTACTTGCTGTAGATAAGATGGATTTGTGCCACAGGTTTGTTTGCTTGTTAAATCAATAGTTACAATAGCAATAATGTTGAATTAAGAAAAATAGAATATGAAAATGAAAAATAACGTGAGAATAGCAACGACCCAATTTGACAAGGACTCATTTAAATGCATTCGAATGGCTAAAATATACGCTTTTCATACTGAAAAACCAGGGATGGGCGAGTGCGAGTCATGACTCGGACTCGAGTCGACTCGAGTCACTTTTTTCTGATGACTCGGACTCAAAAATTGGGTAACGGTAACTCGACTGTTTGACTCGAGCCATTCATTCGCAAAAATTTTCATTTGCTCTTGTTAAAAAGGATCACAATTTATAAGACTCAATTGTCTCTTTTTCATAACTTTCGTCCTAATTGAATATATTGTATTCAAGCTATTTTTTTCGAAGTTTTTCTAGGCCTATGTTTTGATATAGTCGTCAATGTTAGCTTCCACGTATTACTGAATATGTGTGCTTTTTCTTGGTTTTTTGGGTATTCTTTGAAGGTGTGCATGTGTATGTAATGAAATGAATAAAAACTTTGCATTGCATCACACGTCACGTTTTTTTATAGTACTGTAATATAATTATTGAGTGACAGTATTTTTGATCACTAAAAAACGATAATGTTGATCGCCACATGTTTCCGTCATTCATTTTACATTATTTATTTCTTAACGATGGGAATCGGTGTATAATGTTCTACTCATNNNNCTCTCCTGGATAGAAGCTTTCTTGAACAGTTCCAAAAACTTTTCGAATACTTCTTCTTTCGTTCTAATTGGAAACGGTCAGGGATGAATTCCGTCCAAAGAAGATCACGTTCTTTAATGTTTTCTAGCGAAACGCCTAAGAATAGACTCTTCAAAATAATGAAGATATCCCAAAGAATCAAATATCCTTCTTGTAAATGCAAGAACATGTTGTCTGTTGTACTCCATGTTTTAAATATATACTTATTTTTAAATATCACATCTTTTTTTAATATAAGTACATGCATATATAGTTATATTAACATATGTCGCATATTTTGATATAAATATATATATATGATAGACGAGTTTGGAATTTAGTTGAGATTGAAATAGCATATTTGTAGTGTTCTCATAAGGGTGTGTATATTGTTTGCAACGACCCATCCTGACAGCCACGTCGTTTTACACTGACACCCACACCCTTGAACATTATACTATTGATCAGAATAATGTGGGCAGGATACACCGGATCTGTTTTTAAAAACTTGTGTATGAGTGAAAATGTTTACTCAACTTTTGCTTCCTATATGTGCGCTTTAAAAACGATGATAAAGTGCCGATATTTTTTTCTCAGATGACGTGCAATTCGGTGATTAACCATAATGGCGATATCGAATCTCAACAGTTTTTCTGCCAGAATTTTGATAGCTTGTTAGGAATAGACGTAGATATCTAGCTTGCAGTTATGAGACTTCAAAAAACAAGAGAAATTACAAGTTTTTATTAGTGATAGAAACATTCATATCACAAATTTTGGTGATTATTCCACTGGTTTAAATGGATTCAGTATTTTTTCATAGTGAGAAATAGACATTTTAACAATTACAAAGGCTTTTGTATCAAATACTCATAGGATACTACGCTTCTTTGCTTGTCTTCTAACATTTGAATTGATTTCTAAATTAAATAGTTGACATCTACTAGTTTCAACTGACATTAGTTCCACATAAGATTGAGTTTTTTTATATTATGTCTTGTAGAAAACAAAAAAAATGATATGCATTTTTAATTCTAATAATCCATCAAATTTTGAAAATGATACAGAGTATTAATTGACAAAGTGGTTATAATGATCTTTTTTTATATCCATAATTTTTGTAGGTGATTCTTTTTTATCGTGTAAAACGATATATTGACTACAGAGAGAAGATGCAGACGAATTAGTCATTTCTACCATAGAAATAAAGAATTTAAGGAGACTATAATCAGCATCAAATTATATTTCAGAATTTCTCTCAGATAACAGTCAGCTCGATTCATACAGGGCGGGTGTTGCTTTCGTATTCGGTCACACCCACATATGGTGTTTGGATGTGGCGTGAACCATTCAAAAATCCAAAGAATAGTGATAAAAAAGGCTTAATACTACTAGTAGATTGTGAAGGAATGAGCACTTTAGACTAAAAAACGAGTGCAAATTTATACTTATTTTGTATGCTTATTAGTACAGCATTTGCTGTTGTTCTTCGCTCTGCTCGTGTCGAACGTCAACAAGGCGAACGTTTACAAAATGCTCTGCAGGGTTTTGAGAATATGAAAACGCCATATGTTTTACCTAATCTATGGTTAGTACCACTAGAACTACCACGTTTAATGAAGAATAATAAAATTATTTCGTTCGACGAATGGATAAATGAAGTGCTGAGTGTAACGATACGCTATAAACAAATGAAAATAAATTATTAGAAACACAATATAATTGTATAAGACAAATGTTACCCAACATTGATGTAGCTAACGTTAACTATTTATCAATTTGCTTTCGAGATGATAGTCAACCAACAGGTGATATTTTTACACAACTTCGAGAACTATCATATGAATATTTCTATACATCTTTATCTGACGTTATTTGTAAACTATTGAAATCTAGTGGAAAAATATTACTAGGAAGTTGTTCGAATCTATTGTACGTTCGTCCCGCTGAACTAGTTCATTTAATGAATGATCTTATTGATATTATTAATGCAGACACAAGTTCAAATCCTGATAAGCTAATTTTGTAAATATTTATTAGAACATTTTGAAGAAGAAATTGTTAAGAAAAAGATAGCAGAATTTCAACAAAAACTACTCTCAGCTACTAAACGTTACTTGAAAAAGAATCTAAGAAAAAGAGAAAGAGAAATTCAAATGAATGACAACAACACTTTCCTAAGCAATGAACGTAATCGTTTAGTAGAACAATAAAATCATTAAATTAGCAGAAGAGAAAATTTATGGTACGCAATCCATATTATTAACTCTCATACTTTTTAAAAGCTCTTTGGATCATGTGTGAACAGCAATGGATGAATATCGAGACCTGGAATTATTAACAGAAAAAATTCGAAGTACTTTCAGCACTAATGATCAACATGATTACGAAAAGAAACAAAAAATATTTTCCGATGATACGGAACAACGATTGGAAAAAATAGCGGAACGTATTAATCGAGAGAATCGAATAAATGCATCCATTAATGGAAGCGAACCGCAAGTTCATCTTGAACAGTGTTCAGAATGTGGTTGTACAGGTGGTATTGTTAGTATAATCCATTCCAAAGAAGTTTGTTCTTCAAAACGAAATGAAAATAATTATCGTTATAATGACCAAGAAAATGTCATGGTTTGTGATGCATGTAGAAAACTCGAAAAAATATCTGTAACAAAAATTGAATGTAGCAAGTGTGGAATAGAAAGAAAAATAATCTCTTTTCTTTGAAATTATCGAGTTATCGACTAAATTATTTGTTCTGTAATATTTGTTTGTCATACATTGTCTTTTTGATACTAAAAATCAATTGCATAGAACTTCTGGTCACTGATGTTTCATTAATATATTTACATTGAACAATTGGAGAAAATGTGATGAGTCAAAATGATAGGGTGAATGTCGCGAATGCGATCTTCAGCGTTTGCAAGTAAAATGGCTCAATCTGATGTTTGACAGAGATGTAATGAAGAAAGTCTAAAAGTATTTCACATCTTTGAATGTCATAACTACAGAAGGATGCGGGTGTAGGTGTAGTTGTTGGTAGAAAGAAGAGCACATATCCACACCCACACCCACATCCCGTGATTTATAGCAGGTGCCATGGAAAAAGCCCTCGAAGGCTATTTTTATTGTATAAAATCAAAGTTGAGAGTCAATGTGCGACATGGATCACATTTTTTTGTAACCTGATCTGACTTGATCCTAGTCGGACTCTGATGTCGACAACTTTTCTCTTTCTTTTCAGAAAAGCAATTTCTCAATTCTTTTTTTTCTGTTCATTTGGTAGTTGAAAACAAAGGATATGCCCTTGACTAGCTTCGTTCTTAATGTTTCGTCGATATTTTGAAGTTGGGACAGAACGATTATGCGATAGAGTTTTTTTTCTTGTATTCTTTCTCTTTGTACGTATACAATTTGCTACCTTTATATATCATTATTGTACTGACAAAACCCTCACTATGCATCGTGAGTCAATGTCAATAAAGAAAAGATCGTACCATGTATTAATTCTTGTTCCAATAGGCTTTTTCACGTTACCTAACAGAATTTACAAATAAATAAAAAGCATTCCGAATGTCTTTTGTATCTGTAAAACATTCAGAGTGCAGATTCGCCCCGAAATCTGAAATCTTTTTCGTAACTTGGTCTGAGTGCATTACTCAAAACTGAACCATGACAAAAGAAATGCATCGAATGTTCTTTTAGAATGTAAATTTGCGTGTTTGAATAATATTAAAAAGGCAGCCAAATAGATGAGTGCGACTTAACATGAGATTTATAGCTAGTGTTTTATTGTTTTAAGCAATGCAGGAAAAAAATGTAAAGTTCAAACCAGAATTAGTAAAAGCATTAAATAGAATGAGCTAGAAAAACAAAATGATTGAAGAAAACTGTTAGCAGTTGATGATCAGTTGTTGTTATTGTCATTATTTTGTGGAACCGTCGAGAAATTTGTAAAATCCTTTTAGAGAGAAAGAAGCAAAAGTAATCAGTACCTGATAGATGAATGACTGATTAGCTTACTATGACAAAAACGCCTGCAAGAACAATTGCTTTCATTGTGACGCCGAGATCCATTGGAACTAAAAGTAAAAAATAATCATATAGATCCTTTCTTGATGTGAGAGATATGCTTGACAAGGACAATAATTGCGAAGACTTTTTGGTGATATTTGCTGAAGAATTTTTTATGAAACTCACATACATTTGGAAGAAAATAATGGTGAGTGGAAATTTAAATAAAAGTTTTTCCAGTTCCCCCCAAAAACGTTTCCATCACAGATCTTAGCGACAATTAACAACTTTGAACGACATTCATAACAAGACTTAGAAGGTTCTGGAACATTCCAGAACCTTCCTTGAAATTTAAACCGCTAGAATACGTTTCACAATGCCCTAGGTCACATAGTTTCTGACTCTTGCACAGATAAACGACTATACGATAAGTATTGAGGATGATGTTTTGATTTCCCACAACTATCATATGACTAACACAAAAACACGAACTAATTGATTTTGAACTTTCGAATATGATTGATATCAGTCTTTCTTGTTCATTAAATCAATGACCAGATTAATAACAATAAATTATGAAAACGGAATAAAAAAAACAGCAAATAAATCCCCACCAAATAGTAACAAGATAAAATGCAAAAAAAATTCTCACCAAAATGTAGAAATGCAAAAGACAAAGCTTTTGCTGATAATCAATTATCGTTGATTCCGCATATTAGCATCGAAAAGGGTATATTGATAAGTTTTCTCATTTAAAGTTAATCCAAAACATCTTTGTTTCATATGCGTTTTCAAATTCAGCTTTTGCTCTTTTAACCAAAAAAGGAATGAACTCTTGACGATATTTCTGAACGGATAATCGTTGATCGAGATTTTGGCAATTATTTTTACGTGACAAGTGCATGGAAACTGTAATTTCACTGCTACTAAATATACTTACCTTCGCAGGAATAGTTGTCGGCACTCGTGAAAGCTTCTTTACAATAACCGGAGTACTTCTTATGAATTGCTCCAATCTCCGTGATTCCATCGCTTCCCAACAGCTATTAAAATATAGAAAAATATTTAGCTAAGAAGCAGCAATTATCAAACAAAGCACGGAAAACCTAATGAAACGTCGAATTCATCAATGTCAAAGCTATATCAAGCAAAATAAACTGAATGATTCATCAAGTCACTTATCTTTTAACAATGTTTGAATATGCAATCAAAATTTCTGTTTACCAAACAAAGGTATGCATAGTTCTATAAAGTCAGAACCATCCACTATTCTTATTTGGTACAAACTCTTCTCTGCAAAGACCATAATACTTGCTTTTTAGAACGTCTCTCAAAGGATTTGCATATAGAAAGTTGTATTAGATCTTCTTCTCATCTGTGATCAGTCTTGATATGGATGAATAAAAGAAAGTTAGGTACATGTAAGTGAAAAAACTTATCTGTTTTGTTTGAAACAGGTCGAAATGATTTAAACCTGAGATAAGTATGGTGATCTTACGCTTACCTACAAAATGTTTTATTTTGAACATTCTGAAAACGATTTGACTTCATCGCTAACTTTTTTACTAATCAATTTGAATGAGATTAGAAAATCGATGGTAGACGAGAACACAACACTACTCACAGTGAATTTATTTTCACAGCAACAACACAACGCTCCATCGCAAATACATCGTGGACCCAGAATGGTCAGACTAACATTTGTATTGATATCTTGGAGTACATAATGCATTCGCCAACAACTGCCACTAAAAATCATCAGAAGATCTCCATAGAGCGTTTTTTTGAAATAGGATATAGTTACTTTTGTTTGGCAGTGCCAATAATTTGACCGGGTGGTGCTTCAATTGTAACTTCTTGTTGACAACCAGAACAGTAAGCACACCAGCAACATCCAGCACAACAAGTGAATTCCCGATGAATTCTCATGACTTCCTACCGAATGATTGAGATTATGCGACTAAAGCAAAGAAGCATAGTCAGAACTCACTTGTTGCCTATTATTCATGACATGCAATGTGTAACGTCGAGCGCTTGCACACCACAAACGTTGACAAAATGTCGATTCTAAAGTAGAATTAAGAGTAGTTCTTACTTTTTAAAATTTTATTCAATGGTAAAACCTTCAAACGCATGAAAAATTTGTTCGCCAGTGTCAGTAAAGATATCGAATTTAGCCTGCATAGCAATTCCGAAAATCGCTGAAACAAATAAATTCAATGAAGACGAATATGATTATCATGCATATACCCTCTGCTACTGATGGTCGCTGTTTGATCGACAACGAACTTATAGATCGAAGAATATCAATTCCACCTGCAACAGCATTTGTTGAAGGCATCTGTCCATCATACTGCGATGGATTTAGAGCATCCATAGAAACTGTATAACGTGCTCGTGACATTGTATAGTAACCCTTTCACTGTTTGAAAATTGTTGACTCTTTCGTTCTTTCGATGTTAATAGGTTTTTAAGATACAATACTGCCATTTTTCGTTCCTGTCAATCTGTACGTGTCAAATAGACTCAGCTTACTTATAAGAATTATTCACCGACAAGAAAATAAAAAGTACGACATTCCATCAAAAAGAAACCCTATCGATTGATTACGACGAATGCAAATAGTTATTGCCAAATGCAATTTTTCATCTCTCTTTGCTTCTGCTACTCTTATGAATAACGAACAGTCAACATTTTCAATTGCACGTATTCATAAGAGAGTAAAAAAAGCATTCTGTCAAAAACAGTATTCCATCGTTTTTCTGCTTCTTTTACTCGTACACATAACAAAAAGACAAGGGATTGAAATTTAACGCCTTCGCGAAAGAAAAATAAAAGAGTTTGTAAACAAAAATATACAGTCAGAAAAATAAAACGACTGAGCCCCTTCCATTGTGCAACCAATAAATGATGAATGACGAGCATTGAGATAACAAGACATCAACACAGGCTCATCAGTAAAAATAACTAGGGCTTCGTTTGAAGGATATTAACAAAACAAAAATTACAGTCACTTCTATCAGAAGGAAAGCAGAAAATTAGTCAGGAACTGGGGTAGTACAACATCAGTTGTTATAGCATAGAGTACATTTGATTACAGTACCAAATATTTAATAGCATTCACGAGATTCAGTTCCCAAGAAATAATTGACCTTGAGATGACTTTGCATACCAGTAGCTTAGTAGCTTAGAAATTTCAACTGATTGATTTTGCTGACTCTGCGACATTTAATGATTCGTAGACTGTGCGAAATATGCCCTTGTCGTTTCATTTTTTTTTTCTTTCTAATATTAATATACTAACTACACATGTGAGTTGTGCACTCGCTTCTCATTACACCCGATAATACTAAATATGTATGCACATAGGTGCGTCTACTCGTACGTTTCTAGTCTAATAAATTATCCGAGTATGTGTGTATGTATAGTTGGGTACAGATATGAATTTCCCTATTAAACCACACCCATACCTCCCACCTCCAGCAAAAATAAGTTCTTGACTCATGCAATAAAACTGTAAAAATCTATTAGATAAGCTTTGGCAGAAATGATTCAGGTATTATATTGTGCTGCCATAAAAAAGCTGATCTTTTCAAACGACGAAATTACTTGAGAAGATCTGTCCAATATCGTGAGAGAGTTTCATGCGTTGCTAATAATACATAAATACCGATGAATTCAGATTTTTTACTTAGATTTCAAAGTTGAGACGT